GGCTGCCCTTAAGTTCTACATTCCCCACCTGCCCGGCCTTGTTTGTGAGAACAAGGTCCAGCACAGCCCCTCTCCTGGTTGGCTCCTCTATCACTTGGAGAAGGAAGTTGTCATCAACACATTCCAGGAACTTCCTGGCCTGCCTATGCTGTGCTGTGTTGTTCTTCCAACAGATATCAGGATGGTTGAAATCTTCCATCATGACCAGGGTTTGTGAGCGTGAGGCTGCTCCTATCTGTCTATAGTGGGCCTCATCCACTCACTCTCCCTGGTCAGGTGGCCTGTAGCAGACCCCCACTACGGTGTCGCCTGTCCCTGCCCTGCCTTTGATCCTGACCCACAAGCTCTCTGTTGGCTCCTCATCTAACCCCAGGTGGAGCTCCACGCTCTCCAGCTGCTCACTGACATAGAGGGCAACACCCCCTCCTCGCCTCCCCTGCCTGTCCTTCCTAAAGAGCCTGTATCCCTGCATTCCAGCACTCCAACATTGTCCTACTCTGATTTGATTGTAAAATCACATCTTGACATGCACATGGAAACGCAACTTTGGGAGGGGATAAACAAGCCAACCCTGTACAGTTGCTTTCTATTTACAGTTTTTTCTTCAGAATTCAAGTTTCTTTTTTTTTTTTTTCCCCCCCCCCTAATGGTTCCCTAACCTCCTATTAGGTTTAAAAGCTGCGCTACTGGCAGTTTTGTTCTTTAAGATATTGTATTTTGTTTCTGAATGTCTGGGATGTGGAGAAGGGTTGCTTGTTTTCTGAGTCGGGTCATTGGACATGGACATTGGGGAGAGAGGCATGGATTGAAGAGGAGGAGTTAAACATTGTCGAACAGAACTAGTTTTTCGTATCCCTTTTCTCTTAATTTAATTATTTTATTGTATTATCTGGAGGAATTGACAGCCTTTGAGAAGAACACATCTGATTTGTAACTGCAAAAGCACTGGTGCTGCAGGCACCCTTGTTCTGGAGCTGACCCCATACCACTAAATGCTGTGAGCGAGTAGCCTCTCCTCAAATCCAGCCTGGGGGGTTATTCCCCCAACCTGCACCTTGAGAAGCCATCTAAGCCTTTCTTTGTGTCTCTGCAACTGCTGGTAAATCTGCCTGTTGCACTGTGTAGTGCACACTTTTTTAAGGCTGTATTTATCCTCCAAAATTTCCAAACTTGTTCTGGAGACTGTTGCTATGGGAATGAGCTTGCACAGCAGCTTCTCCAGTTTTCACCATATTTGTACCTGGGAGGAATGGGAGGGTGACCAGGTGTGGGCAGAACATGAAGGGCGTTCAGCTCTCTCAGCCTGGGAGCTTGCCTATCACCTATGAAGTACACACGTACAAAAACCTGTACCATTGAGGAGATAGCAGATGGTTCCCTGCACAGCCTCAGTTTATTGCTCATCCGGGGTATCCCTCCGGATAGCACCGCATGGGGCTCCCACAGAGAGCAAAGGACAGCCCTCATGCGTCACCTTTGTTGTTTCACGTTGTGAATTCTGAAACAGTCGAGTTATTCCCAAGTACATTTGCGTTTTACTACAGAATTCCAATGTTCAGTGTTAAAAGGGTTAATTAAACACTGAATGTGGTTTCTATTTCCTTTTTTTGCTTTAGGTCAAAATGAGTCTGGAGTTGCTGTCCACAATGGTAGAATATATTTAGTTGGTGGCTATTCGATTTGGACAAATGAGCCTTTGGCATGTATCCAGGTGAGTGATTTAGGTTTCTTTTAAAGCCTTTTCCAATAATTTTGCAAGGATACATTCTGCATTGAGGTTATTAAAAAAGGAGAATGCCTGTGAAGTGGAGAGGTGTTTTGTATGCAGCCACTGAAACTGCATAAACACAGAAGGGAACTTCTCTGGATATTAAAAATATTTCCAGATGAGCCATTAGATCCAATTATTCTAAGATATTCTACAGGGTTGAGGAGTCTCTCCTTTGGCAGGGTTTGGGTCAAATAATGGGTATATATTCTCAGGTTCCAGAATTAAGTTCAAACGTAAAAGGGTTGCAGAAATGGATGATGGGGCATGGGCTAACAATTTTTCAGCCCATCTTGTGGCTTTTTGTGTTTTTTTTTTTTTTTCCTCCAAGTTGTTTTTCTGAAGAGTGGCCAGAGTTAACGAGTTGTTCTTTGACAAAGTTCAGTCAGCCTGCAACCTGCCCTAGTTCTTACTGCTTCAAAGCTTGAATGGAAGTTTTCTGATCCCTGCTGTAGGCAATAGGTTGTCCAAAAACTCTTCTGCTCTCTCCTCTTGTATCAGAGCATCTTGCCTGTACATCCATGGCTTTCGGTATTCCCATACAGAAAGCAGGAATTATTATATTTCTGCATTTTTCTGAGTGAAGCAAATCTGCATCACAGCCATCGCTTTGTGACCAGCTGGGCAGTTGGAGACAGAAACTCTTGTTCACATCTCAGTTTCTGTACTTTTGCTGATAAACAACTTTTTCTTTAGCTTCCAGCTTTCTGGATTTTAGGACTTAACCTCCAAACTCTCCCATAAGACTAGAAGTTAGACTTAGCTTAAAAGGGAACGTATTAGATGTTGAGCTGCTGGTCTTATAATGAACACTTATTAGCATGAGTTTGTAAAGAATAGATCATGCAAGATAAGCAGTTTAAACCATGTTCTGTTCATAGTATAATTGTGTTTTACTCAATTGTTGGATATCATACCTAACAACTGTTATTGGAAAAATTAATTCAAACTGGCTTGGATAAGACTAGCTGAAATACAGTACTTCACATGGAGCAATAGCACAATATAAGGGGGTGGCTGTACTCTACCAACATGCTCGTTTATAATCAGCAGGTACTTTGCTGTACTGCACCTGGGTTTAAATACTGCTTAAGTGACAAGTGAAAATGATCCTGGGATCTTGCTTTCTTAAATGGACATTTGTCCACATTCCCAAACTGGTCATGAACTGGCAGCCTGCCTGCGACAGACCACCGCGTTAAAGGGAAAAGTAGTATAACGAGAGCTTTGGCAGAGCTGTGTGTGCTGCCCTTTCTCAGTTGCTGGCATTGTGCCTGGCTTTAACTAGTAAAACTAGCCCTTTTATCTCCAAATTCAGCAAATTTGAGGATGTTCTCTCCTTTGGAAGAAAAAAAAAAAAATCCATTCTTTCAATATATCTTCATTTTCTTTTAAGTCATTCATTTATTTGGCCTTTCCAACTTTGACAGAGCTCCCTCGCTCCCTATATACCGAGCTGACAAGTGATTCATACTTTGTGGTAACAGCAGCATTTCTGTGCAGAGTACCCTCCTTGCGTGGCTGCACGTTTTGCTGCCAGGAAGCAGGATTCAGTGTCACTGTCTGCTACCGAGTGCCTGAGCTAGCATAAGGTTTGGGTGATGAGGAGAGCAATAAATCACCAGATCCATAAATACAATCTAAAAGTGATCTGGAATTGCCTTTCTGTTGGGATTAATAGTACATACATGCAGTGTGTGCCAGCAAATTTGTTTCAGCTTTCTTCCGCGATCCATGAAATATTTGTACTCTTTGACCTGCAGGTGCTGGATGTTAGCAAAGAGGGGAAGGAAGAAGTGTTCTATGGGCCTACGCTCCCCTTTGCTTCCAACGGAATAGCAGCATGCTTTCTTCCAGCTCCTTACTTCACCTGCCCCAACCTTCAGACTCTGCAAGTGCCTCACCACAGGATCGGCACAGTGTGAGACATGGAACGTGTGCTTCATAAAATCAGAAGTGGAGGGAGAAGAAAAAAATCAAACCCAGTGTATGGAAAGGTTTCTCTGGACCAGTGAAAAGAACCAATCCACACGGGCTGCTGCTTTACCTTCGCACATTTGTCTTAAAGTCGGATCACAATAGGCAGGAAGGAAACTACAAAAACTGTCTGCGGTTTCTCTCCTCTGCCTCAGATGTGGAAGCATATATATGAGAGCATTTGGCATTTCTGCTGATGACTACTTGTTGCCTGTCTCTACTTCATTTCCTTATGCAACTTCATAAGGCATTGTGAACGCTCTCAGCTCGTCCTGGGCTGCTCCTTCTTTGGAGTCTGCACGTTCAGTTGTTCACTGATGGCACTTTCAAACTGATAGGAAACTATGTTTATGTTTAGAAAGATGATATAATACTGTGGTAATTATGCAACTTAATACCTTTGGCAAAAGGAATAACAAATGGACTTCAACTTCCAATCCCAAACTCCATTGTTTACAGTTTCTCATTTAATAATACCTTAATTTGAAATTGAAATACTGAAGATTAAAACAAAAACCAAACAAGCCCTATAGTTTATGAGGAAGAGATAAAAATTGTCTTAGCTGAAAGACAAAGACACCGAAGCTTCATAGTTAAACCGAAGTCTGAACTGAATGTGTTTGAGAATCTAAAGATCATTTGGGATGTCATTTATCAAGGTCTACTATCAAATAAATATTACCTTCTGTCATATGATCAATTCCTCCTGACAGCTGCAGTCTTCTAACAGTGGAGAACAGCCTCTTTACTGTATAATTAAAATGTGCCATTTACTTAATATTTTTAATATCCAGTTTGCAAGGGGTCACCACATTTACAATTATCAACGAACAGTCTCATTTTGTCCAACATATGGTCCCACAAATCACTGGTCTCCAGAGGCTAAACAGGTGTAGAACAATGTCAATATTTATTTATTTACCCTTTCAGTTTATATAGTGTGTCTCCGTTCCGTACTCCAGGCATATGCCGGTTCACAATAAATACTCTAACCTGTTACATTTTGGCTTTGCTTGGCTACTGCAGTTCCTGTCTGTTATTTCTGCCTTTTATTTACATATCTAACAACAGTGTCAATGTTTGTAAATATTAACCAAGCATGTAATTAAATCTTTCTCTATTTATGATTTACGGGCACTCTGCACTTTTCTTCTTTCTGTACTGATCTGTTCCCCGCCACTGTGCTATCTGAGCAGACCGATGAAATTCCTACTGACACTCATGCAAATGCCACGTGCAGAATATGCCACAGCAGCAGCCTGCGCTTGCTGGACAGGAACCGGTTTGACTTTCCCACTGAGCAGTGTTTGCAAATCAAGGTCAGTGATACAGGGGGCTGAACTTCATCACTGTTTCCCTCTCCAGCTGGGCAGTGTTCTCACAGATGATCACCTTTCCTTTTTCAGTAGTTTTCAGGTTAGAAAGTTTTGTGGGATTTTTTGCTGAGCTTCCTCACTCTCGTTGCACAGAGCAGAGCTGCAGCGGCACAGTCTTCTCCTGGCACGCGAACATCATCTCCCTCTGCACACAAAGCAAGCCTGCATCCAGGCAGTACTTTTGTCTAACTGCATGGGAGCTGTACAGGCTGTGTATCAGGAATTTTTATTTTTTTTTAATTCCTTTGATCTCCTGGAAATCGGTATGCAAGGGCCAGCTCTCCTAACAGGCCATTTACACTTTAAAAATCTGCCTGCTGCCCTGTGTGGGCTGCAGGGCCCAGGCCTGGCAGGTGTTTGAAGTTCTACTTATGCATGACTTGCAGGGACACGAACATTGCAGGTCTTGTTTTCAAGAGCAGAGTGGCTAAACAATCAAAAAGTGTGTGTAGAGGTCCTTGGGGCTTTGAGCCTCATCCTGGAGGTACCACACCAGGTGAGTAATCAGCTTTGGCTCCCGGTGCAGAACTGACACGTACTTGCTGGTTTTCCAGGTGGTGGGAGAATTCATTTCCTAGCCTTTGTAAAGCCCAGACAATAGTGCAAAGTACGTGTTGTACGTCTCCACTTTGTTTTGAGGCTTTTATTCCTAGGCTTCATACCTCAGCTGTACCTATGAAATAATTTTTAAACTGCTCCTTCTGGAGAGCGAGGGGTGATGCTGGATCTGTCTGAGCAGCAGCAGTGAACTGCAGTGGAGGAGTGGCGGGGGACAGCCCCCTGTGCAAAGCAGCGTGTGCCTCTTGGTTAAAGGACCGAAAGGCAGGAGTGTATGGTGAGAAAGTTATTTATCGTGTTTGTTCTGCTCTTTTGATGCTTTTACTGTTCCAGTTGTCATCACCAATTGTCTGTACTGGTGAATAGCAGTTTTAAACAGCTGTGCAATTGCATTAAATTCGTTAAGGGTACCACAGCCGTGGAGCCTCAGGACAACACATATGCTCCCATTAGTGTCAGGATTCTGGTCTAGCTCTTAATCATCAGGCTCCAGCGATTAGAGAGAAGTCTTTCACGGCAACCTCTTCACCCCTATGTTTTTGTGCCACACTTTCCTATCTGGGTCTTTTTGCTTTTGTTGCAGGTCACAGGACAGATGGGGGTGTTTTGCTGCACCACAAGTCAGAAAATGCCACGGAGCCCTTACAGGTGGGCAAAAACAGGTTGTCACCAGGTAAGAACAGCGAATGGTGCTGATGCAGGAGTGGGCAGAGAGCACCCTGGTGCCAGCAGCGGCTCTGCTGTGGCTGAAGGGTCTCTGCCAGGGAGGAGTGGGGTTGGGAGAGCAAGGCTGGCTTCACCTGCGGCTGCCGCTGTGCAGGAGTCCTGCGGCAAGGGCTGCCCTGAGCTGGAGCTTCTGAATCAGCACGTCCTTGCTCTGCCATTTTGCCATTTAGTGTCTGGCTTCTGAAAATAAGACCAGTTGCAGGCTTTTGTGTGCAAGCTCCAGATCTGCCTCTGCAGGTCTAAATTTTGTACCATTTTTGTCAAACATAAACCTCTGAACCCAATTTTTGTACCTACCCAGCCTACCAGTTTTGCTCCCTACCTCTGAAGTGCAGTTTAGCTCAGTTTTTCCATAGAGCCTTAAAGCTGTCCATAATAAACATATTTCCACAACGGATGGTTATGCTACTGGAGTCACATCAGCACAGCGTGAGAGCAGCTGCTGACACAGGTCACCCAGATTCCCGTCTAGGAGCATGCAAGGTGATGGCACAGGTTGCAACCGGTCAGAACTCACTAGTGGAAAGAGGTATCCTTGCAACTGAAGAATGCAGCAGCAGTTATTAACTGGCGAGTTCTGTGTATTTCCTTAGATTTACTGATTAAACCTACTTAGATCTGCAGCTAGGCTTTTGGGCTACAAGGTCCTGAGAGCTGTACCGAAGAGCCTTTGTACTTCTATGCCTGTCCTGTGATCTCCTTTTTTGGGCCATTCCCATAAACATGAATATTTCACCCTCTTGACAGCATACTTTACCTTTGAGTCCTAAGATGTGTTACCTGCTCTTGGCTATAAAAAGCCATGATGACAATCAGCTGCTCTGTGCTTTTTATCCAAAAAGGACACTTTGCAGAAGCAGCAGAACCAACAGCCTGTTCTGCCCCTTTGGCCTCTATTGAGCCTTTATTTCACACGCGAGCGCTGACCAAAGAATTACTTTTATGTTATGAGCCAGCGTGCCGCAACTCTGCTTCTAAGCACTAGTGTTTTGTGATCCTTGCAGTTCTAGTTGTAGCTTATGATTTTCTTCTTAACTTGTCAGCTTTCAGAGAAAGTACCTCTCAGAATAGTTCAAACTTCTGTAACTCTTTTTCCTTTAAGTTTTCTTCCCCGATTACCCTCCCCCAAACCTGTACAGACATTTAGTACATCAGTTGCAGAATCATGGAGAAATAGATAATTGAATATTCACACATGCAGAAACAACACAGGCAGAAATGTGGAACAATGTGGAAACAAGCGCGAAAAGAGGCGGCATCTGTTTATTGAAAATTAGAATGTAGAATAAATTAAGAGGGCAAGGTTAAAACGCTTCATCTGCAGGCAGAGTTTGTAGGGGAGGAAGACTTTGCAGGAACTTTAGTGCATAGACTCTATATAAAGGGCTTATACAGTTTTATTTTTTCAGAACAGGCTTTTGGTGTTGGGATTTTTTTTCAAGGGCACATTTTAAAAGGAAAAAAAGTGTCCACATAAAGAATGGTTTTCCAATAGAGATGATTATATATATAGTTGTTTCACAGTAATGCCAGAATTAAAATGCTTAAAATGTTAACTCTTGCTGTGAGTAGATGAGGCTATGGTACAATACCAGAGTAAGTATTTTTAGCAATACCCTCAATTCATGTAAGCGAATGATGTGCTAATTTTTCCACCAGTACCAATATAGGTCATGTTGGCCCTTTCTAAAATGAATAATGAATTAGCAAATTTGAATTTTTAATGCCTGTTTGGGTGACATTCTACAGGGAGGGGAGTATATGCAAGATAGTGTTTGATGTACTGAAAAATGTCGTGAATTTGGTTGTGACATGGAATTACTCTGCTGGTATTTCCCAAGGCCTGCAAAGACACCACATCTGTGAATACAGAATCTGAGTTTTATAACTGGGGGTTTTTTTTTGTTTGTTTGTTTTATACATACCTTCACATTTCGTACTTAAAGTCTACAAAAGGTTTACCATTTTAAAGCTGCCCGAGTAGACAGCAGCTATATCCTAGTCATTCATCATAAAACAAGCTTAATTATGCTAGGACATATTGACACTGCATCAGATTTTTAATCTTCAACATAATTTTGTAACCATTGCTAACAGATGGGCTGATTACACTGAATTTAAGTAATAGTTAAAAATTATAAAATATGATTAAACTGAAAATACCCATGCATACATAATTTTCAGAAGCTACTCAAAGAAGGAAAACCAGAGTGCAATAAAACCTCTTTTCTGTTCCCTGAGGGAAATACACTGCATTTAGGTGGACAGTTATCAAAGTTCCTTAAATG